TTGTTTTTAGTTGTCTGAAAAATAAATATTTGCTGAAGAGCACTTAGATTTTGAAGGCCTAATTATTCTACCTATTTCTCATAATTCATCCAGTCAGAGAACAGAAATGTATCAGCTCAGCAGTATTTTCAATCAAACCTATCCCATTTTAATATTCACTGTATCACCACCACTATTCTTACCAAAAAGCTCCGGGCTAGGAGAAACTTAACAGGGATCAGCCAATTGACTAGAGAATACATGTGGGAAAGTTGCAACCTCTTTAGACCAAGTGTTTCCAAGCTTTTGGGAACTAGAATAACTTTCAATTAAACTCACTAAAATAAGGCAACTAGAGACAGTTGCTCAGGGCTGTGTCCGGTCAGGTTTTAAATATCTCCAAGGACAGAGACTCCCCACCCTCTCTGGGCAGCCCATTCCAGCGTTCAACCACCTCCGCAGTAAAAAAAGTTTTTCTTACGTTTAAATGGAATCTCCTGAATGTCATTTTGTGCCCACTGAATCTTGTCTCTGGAGGCCACTGAGAAGAGTCTGGCTTCAGCTTCTTTATCTCCCCCTGGCAATCAGCAGGTACATATTGATAAGATGCCCCTGAGCTTGGTCTCCTCCAGGCTGAACAGTCCCGGCTCTCTCAGCCTCTCCTCATATGTCAGATGCTCCAAACCTTTAATCATCTTTGTGGCCCTTCACTGGACTGTCTCCAGCAGAGTCCATGTCTCTTTTGTACTGGGGAGCCCAGCACTGGACCCCGCATACCAGATGTCTCACCAGGGCTGAGCAGAGGGCAAGGATCACCTCCCTCGACCTGCTGGAGATGTTCTATCTAGTGCAGCCCAGGAGGCTGTTGGCCACCTTTGCCACATGGGCTCATCGCTGGCTCATGGTCAACTTGGTGTCCACCAGGACACCGGGGCCTTTCCAGCAGGTTGGCCCTAGCCTGTTCTGGTGCCTGGAGTTACTCCTCCCCAGGGGCAGGACTTGGCATTTCCATTTGCTGAACTTCATGAGGTTCCTCTCAGCCCGTGCCCCCAGCCTGCCGAGGTCCCTCTGGGTGCCAGCAGGACCCTCTGGCATATCAGGCACTTCTCCCGGCTTTGAGTCATCTGGAAACTTGCTGAGCACTTGCTCTGTCCCAGCATCCGGGTCGTTAATGAAGGTGTTGGACAGCATCAGCCCCTGGGGGCAGCATTGCCGCTCATTGCTATGGAGGTGATGGAAAACAACACACTAGCTGCCCCAGCTGATTTCTGAAAAAGCCCGTCACAGACATTGCTGCTGGCCGATATATATGTGACAATAAATATAAACTCACATTTCTTTTGTTGTTTAATTTTCTTAATGGGTAGTTTTATGCAGATAGGCAGAATGATGCTGCCGGCCTGCAGGTCCCCATTTCCCAGCAAAATTCTTGCTTCAGTAACCCTCAGCAGCCAGCATGGCAATGAGACCCTTTTTATGCAAATAGATTCAGTAGCATTTCTGCTGGTCCCCGCACGAGTCATGATTTGCCTTTTGAATTTTGGTGAAGCCTTTAACAGCAAACGTGGGAGCAGGAAAAGACCGCCTCCCTTTTCTCCTCCCTCTGGAGGTGGGGAGCAGGGGGAGCTGGCATGCTGCAGCTTGCTTGCCAGTGAGGTGAAAGGGAAATGAAACGCAAACGAAACGCGGGCAGAAAATATTTTGTTGCTGATTAAAGAAGAGCAAGGTCCCTACACAAGTGGATTGCTGCCACTAACAGCACTCACTTTGATCCCTCTAAGCTTGTGTGGAATTAATTAGGTAAAACCCCTAGCACTTACCTTGGGCTGTGGTATCACCTGGAGGAGACTTGGCATGAATTAGCGCTGGATTATCATAGGAGCTTGAGCTGTGAGATGATCTGTCTAGTGAGAGCGTGCCAAGTAATTCACAGGAGGTGGAAAACAAAGTGGCATTTTCATAATTTTAATTAGGTTTGGGGGGAAAAAAGGTTAGCTTGAATAGAGCAAGAGGCAGAATGATGACCTTACTGAACATCTCATGGACTTCCTTTTACACAGCTGGGATATGGGGACACACGCTGCAAATTTGCTCAGATGTGTCCTCGCTACTTAGAGAATTTAAAAAGGGAGTGGTTGATGGTTTTTTTATAAGATTATAGGAGATAAGATTGCAGTGGAAAAAGGCTTGGTTCAGGCATCAGAGAAAGGGTTGCTGTGACCTCTGAGTAGGGATGGATGCGCTGCATGTAAAGGCCGGAGAAAAAAGCCACCAGATGTCTCTGTAGCCTCAAAAATGCAGGGAGGCTGCTGGGCACCGCTGCCTTGCCTGCCTTTGCTCTTCAGCAAAGGGGAGCTTTGATGGAGAAAGAGAGGCATGCAAACCCCCGATTAAACCCACACTTACGAAGCGTTCCTCCTCCTCCCCAAATGCAAAGGTTCGCGACCCCCATCCCGATCGTGACTGATTTTTCCCCCAGCAAGGGAGCCAGATTAGGCCACAAAGTGACTTTTTCTTCTGTTTTGGGGAAAGGCTGTTCGTGCAGCTTCATGGACAGTGCTTTGCCTTATGCAGAACAGGTCTGTGCAAGGCAACATTCTGACTTGCTTGTCTCCACGGTCACCGTTACTGTACTTGTGACAGCAACTGAGCACCTCGAAAAGCTTTGGAGGCAATAATCAATCCTATCCCTCGGTGTTCCCATGAAACAGGGAAGTTAAATCATTTACCAAAAATCTCACTGGGAATAAGTGCCTGGTCAGGCATAGGATACATGGACTTAATTTACTTCTCCCTTGTATTAGCAGTGGTGATTACAATTGCATACAGAAAGATCAAAGAGTTTTCTGATTCCCAGGTCTCAGCCACAAGAATCATAGCACCATTTATCACCCAAGACAATTATTTATACTACCAGTAAATTAAAAAAAAAAAAAAAAAAAGAAAAAACCCAAACTAATTTTCTACATGTAGCTCAGACCTCCTATCTGCATTTTAGGGCAATGCGAAGCAGAGCCAGGCTGCTTCTCTTTATTACCCTGTGGGCAGTTTTAAATTTCACTGAAGAAGGGGGTGGTAAGGGAAGGGAGAGTGGCAAAAATTAGATCTGAGGGAGGTCAACTCTATCCACTTAACTGCTATTGACCCACTTGTAACCAGAGCTGAGCCCAGCCTGGGTATTGGAATTCCTCTGGCCACATCTCTGACAATGTGCGGGGCCTGAAAATACCTAAATCCCTGTAGCACAGTGAAGTCCCTACAGCCTGAAAAACTGAAAACCACCATAGATACTGCTTGTCTCATAGCTGCTTGGGGCTGAGCATAATAAGACAGAGAAGCTGGGGTAAACTTACGGGGGGATTAAGAGGAAGAATGTACTTTCTTCCCTCTTGCTGGGTAAAGTGTGGAAAGCCCCAGGGAATTACTACTCTGTATTTCAGTCAATGCACTAAAAAAACCCCAAACCTTTCTGAGAAAGGATCTTTACAATTAGGAAAATCTTGTGCTTTAGTCTGATTCCCCAGTTCCTGAAAATTTCCCCAACTTGCCGCTTGTTTTACACCATTTTAGGGCTGCAAAAGTAGCAAAGTATAATGGAGCATCAGGCCCATATTTCTCTCCAGACTCCCTTAGTACGCTTTCCTCATGCAAATACATGAAAGGGAAGCCAGATACTCCTAGCCTCAGTATGAGAAAATTGTGTTAATTTTAATAACTTACAGTGTAACTGTTACACCCTGATGCAGTAGCTATACTGATAGAAAGTAAGCACCAACATGCAACCCAAAAATGTGTCTATTAAAGTAAAATAATAATAATATAAAAGCCTTGGCTTACATTAGTTATAGGTTTGGCTGAAAAGCTGAGCCTTGGACTGTATGAGGTGGCTCTGGCTCTGCTGGTCCACAGAAAGACTGAATTCATTAATCGGGAAACCTTCATGGAGGGCACGCTGCCTCAAATCCCAGGGAGCAATGTCGATGAATAAGAAAGGACATGGGCTAATTCAAACCCTTCTCCCACCTTTCAAATCAAGTTAGTGATTTCTCTCTTCTTTGTGGTTCCCAGCCAATTGTCATTTTTAGTGCATCCTATCGCCCTGCAGTACAAACTGTTCTGGGAATACGCTTCATTCCTCTAGCAGCCTCTCAGCAATGCCAAGGAATGTAGCTCTTCTGGTTACAATTAAGAAATTCAACACACAAATGCTCCCCAAGTGCACCAGAACCTGCTTGTGACCTTCACGCAACCGAATCTGAAGGAGTTGAAGCAATTTTTTGTTCTTTGGTTCCAATAAAGAGGGGAGGGGTGGGGAGGGGGGAAACCCCCATTCCTCCAGAGCGGCACGGTGGTTTCAGGGGTCAGCTGCACAGAAACTGGCACAGGGAAGTGCAGTTTCCAGGGCTGTGTTCCCACAAGGGGCTCCGGGCTGCGGGGTTGCTGGGAGGATGCCAGCCCGTGCTGGCAGAGCCGGCACGCTGCGGCGTGTCTGCCGGGTAGGCAGGTTTAATTCCCACCACTGCATGGCAGAAAGTGTGTTGGCAGGGCTAGCGCAGGCAGCGGTGGAGCCTACCTGCCTGCTGCCATGCTCTCCTGGGGACCTCTTGTCCCCAAAGCCTCTGCTAAGCAGCTGGGTAGGGATGCCTCTTGCTGCCTCAGCTCTATCCCCATGGACTGTCTCTCTCTTTTGGGGCTTCTGCGTAGACACTTTGAGAGCAAACTCTACCGCTGCCTTTTATCATGTTGCATCTCTACCAGGATTGTGTCCAGGTGAGGCAGATTAAGAAGCTATTACAGAACAGCTCTATAGAATCTATTTACAAATATAGTGTCTATTTAAGCAAAAAAGAAAATACTTTTTTATTGTGAGCATGAATGCATTAGACACTTCTGCGGTTCCCCTCCCCTGCCTCTCTTCAGCCTCTGCATTTTCAGCCATAAGCTGGCTTTAAAACTCTCCTTCCCCTAAACCTCAGGATGACACTATTGCCCAAGACGAGAAATACATTTGTGTTTTTCAGATGGCTAGAGATGGCGAAGAAATAGCATGGAAAGTCCTTGATGTGGAATCTCATTATCCCAAAGAAATTGGGGGATCCCTGGAGCTCTCCAACGACACCTTTTCACTGAGGATCATAAACGCAACCAGCCAAAACAGCGGGACATACAAGTGCACTTTGGGGGAACAGAGTGGAGAACGTAATCTGAGCAGCACAGTCACATTAAAAGTAACAGGTATGGCAGAAGCTCTTGACTGTCCCATGCTCTGTGTGACATTTCATGAAGGTAACAGTTTAAGAATATTTTACAAACACCAGGACAATGTAACACCTTGCTTTACATTTTAGGTTGCCCTGGAATAGAAGATGAAAAATTAAAAAAATACAAAGCCGAGCTTTTCATGCTGACTTGCCTTGGGATTTTTTACTTGCTGCTCATCTTTTTTACCTGTGTAAGTAATTTCCTTTCTCATAAACAAACCAACCAAAACCAACCAAAAAATCCCCACTCATTTTCTCTGCTAGCGCTGCCTTAACACAGCTGGTCAGAAGTTGGTGTTCATACTTAATTTATGATCAAATCCTTCAAATACTTGAACAATATTTTCAAAGCCAGAGGAAACTTAGGTGCATGAGGAACACAGGATGGAGTCCCAAAGAGATATAACATTTCACTGCGCCCTGTTCTAACTCAAACCAGACAGTTATTTTCCTGTACTCCGCTGCCCATTTCTGCTTCCAGTTACCCTGAGTGCAAGCTACTCTTCAGTTTAAGGGCACATCAACAACTTTTCTGGTTTGGTACTTGGAAACAGCATTTGCCCAAGATGGAGGCACAAGCCCCTGGGGTCCCTTCCCCATCTATGGCATTGCTTTCTGTGGTGGCATGATGGACAAGTTCAAGTCCACCTATTTTTTGCCTGTTTCCATACCTGTCAATTGGTGACAACGCCATTTCAGATGGGCATGTTTGTGATGCTCCGTCTTTCTTGGTAAATAGACATTTTAAGATCCTTGGTTTTCCAAGGTTCTTTTGAACCTCCTTGGGTTTTTATCTGTACTGTTAATGCTGGCAGGTAGTTCTGGGAAAGGTGGGGAGAGGAGGTATTTGGGAATCTCATTTCACAGAAGCAAAACTATGTTTTGTCTGCGGTAGTGGTGAAGTCACCCCCTTGTGCAGAAAAAACAGGAGGTCTGCACCTGCTGGCTTAAAGGCAGCATGATCCTCGGGTCTCTGTACAGTGCAACACTGGCTGCATTTCTAATTAAAACCAAAACAAAACCAACCCCAGCATTTTGGGAGGTCAGATTTAACTTTTGCTGCCTATTTCATATTTGCCTTCTTGTTTTGCTCCTCAGCAGATGAATCATAACTGTTGCTTGGAGAATATCTAATTAGCTGCAGCTAAATGTAGCTTTTCATGTATCTTCAGGGAGCAATTAAATTTATGCCTGTCTCTTTTTTAGATTGACAATCCTGCCAGTAATTTGTGCCATTCAGACTAAAGTTTGACAAGATAAATCTTGTAGGAATTTGTTAGGATGAAAGTATGAAAGCAAGGATATCACTCAGAAGAGACAGATGCCCCTGTTCTGCTCAGTGTCCTGAAAGAATTTCAGATCTCTACAGAAACCTCCCCTTCCCATACATAAAAAAAGTCCCAGTTTTAGTGGTGCAGTTAAAAAAAAGCAGAGCCAGATAGTGAAGATAACCACTCTGGTGGAATTACGTGTATCTTACTCTTGGGTGAGGTCCAGTCTCAGGTATCAACCTAGCTTTCATCAAAATTTAATATTGCCCTGATCTCACAAGTGAGCTTCATTATTTAAAATGCCTGTTAAGTTCTCACAGGTTACCTTGTCCTCTCCTTTAGTGGAGATTGTGCCTTATCTCCACTAAACTCAACAGTGACATTAAGTTTAAGACTGGTTGGCAGGACTGGGACTTTACTTTGACAACTTGATGAAAATATTTCAGGCACTGGCCTGTACTGAAGGCAGGTGGAAACACACTTGCAAGAGCTTGATGCAAACCCTGTTCATATGAAAACTTGAATTCAATATAAATTTCCTTTTGTGACTAAGGCTTTTGTCCTATAAAGCTCCCCGATCGAGCAAGAAAACAGCAGCTTTTCTTTGTACTGGGTGCTTCTGGTGACAAACAAATGGAAAAGGTGTAATGAACTATGGTTAGCAAGGAGAAAAAGCAAAACTTTCAAACATAAAACCAAATTGCCTTTCATAGGAATTCTCAGTTTTAAGCTTTCCTTTCTGTTTTCTCTTTTAGACATGTCTAAGAAAAGAGAATATGTCTGCCAATGATCAAAAAACCAGACCAGATATGAAACACATGCTCACCCTCATCAATGTACATGAAATGACAACTTTCCAGGATTTAAACAGCAACAGTACTTGCAAAAATGAGCTTACTTCAAGTTCTGTCTAAGTTGATGTTGACAGCACCGTGGGCTGATCAGTAAACATGACACAAGCCGGATGGCCGAGTGGTACGGAAAGGAAATAAACGCTGATACATGGCCTCTTCAGAACAGCCTGAAAGTATAGGTAACCTGTCAGTGATCTGCTTGTGCTGGACAAACCTTTGAAAAGCACTGTTATGCACTACAGTAACTTCTGGGAGTTAGGCAGCTAAGAAATACCATTACAGCTGCATAATGGTGTTACGATGCTGTTATGAAGTTGGCGTCAACTTTATTTCACTCTGCTGTGCAGCCCTCTTGTTCTGAGCAAGAACATGCCTGTGATACAAAGGCCAGGTTATAGGGAAGCCATGGCAGCGCAAAGCTGGTGGATTAAGCTCTTCACTGAACTAATAGCTCTCATCTTTCAGAAGAAAACACAACAGGTGCTGCAGTATGGAAAGATAAGTGTGCGGGGCTGTCTCTGCTCCGTGCTCTGAGTCTGATTCTGGATGGAGTTCCTTTGCTGCAAACGGGATGTAAGTTTTCATGTGATGTTCAAGTAAGCTGAAGAGGTAACTTCATGCTCTTGTCCCGGGTGAATCAAATCAACATTCGTTTTTAAATCTGAGAGTGGCAGACAGGCTGAAATGTAAGAAGGGAGAAAAAACTCTGGGAAACTTTCTGGACCGAGAGGAACTTTCTATCACTGCAAGAGAAGTAGGGATGCATTTGCACAATGGGTCCATCAGTAATTTCCCCACAGGCATCTCCATAGGAATCCATAGGAAGTTTCAATGAGATTGCTAACCTTAAAGCAACGAAAGTAAGGATGAAGCAGCCTGTGATATTAAGGACCTGTAAAGATGACTTATTTTGTGGTTTATAAAACATGAAACCAAATGTATGCGACACCCATGTCAGTCAAGTTACACAAGTGATGACCAAAGCCACAGCTTGGAAGAAATCATCCGTCTGTATCTTTTGGATGTATTAAGTCAGCAGTGACATACAGGAATGGAAAGTGGGGCATATGAGCACCTGCTTTTGGTGCTGACACTGTGTAGTTTATGTGAAACAAGGACATGAGAAAAGCTAAACTCAGGCACACAATGTAAGGGAGAGGAGGCGTGTCCTCTTGGACCAAAGAAAGCAAGAGAGATTCTGGAGTCTGAAATCAAGGAACCTCTGTTATTGGGCTGCTGGTGCAGAAGATGAAGCAAGATTGACTGTGGGTGTTTATGTCACAACATGACAATCTGAGCCAAAACATGAGAATTTGCAAGCACTTAAGAACACAATCTTAAAAAAAAAAAAAATCCTTCAAGAGTTAAACTGCAATGTTAGGATTTGTAATGCAGTTTGGAATTCCAGACTGTGACTGTAATCCATTGACTAACTGTGAAGCACTGATGGGAGGAAAGCACTGTGCATCACCCAGTAATGCCTCTGTGAGCCGGGTATATGTCTCCATTGATGGAGTCCAAGGGGCTCCTGACCAGAAGAATGGTTACAAGGGAAATGCAATTTACTTAGAGCATGGTAAATTAATGCCACATTTGCTTTTTTGTAATCAATTTTTACATATAAATGTGTGTAACATACTTGAAATAAAAATTCAGAGGTAACCTACCATTTGGTTTTGTGTGCCACATATGGCAAATAAACCCAGAAATACTCCGTATCAATTGCATTTTATTTTACAACCGACATAATTACATCAAATAATGTAGATGCCTGATCCAGCCTCTCCTGCGGGATAGGGCATGTATGTGTGTATAATTGATTAAGCAATGGATAATTTTATGCATTTCTAAGGAAATCACATAATTTAAATTTTCCTCAAAATTTCACTTTCTGTCCAATGTACATTCTAAACCACCTGTTCCGTACTGACAGGCAAGTCATTAAGGAAAATACAAGGGTGTTTCAGTCTACCCATGGTCACTTTTAAACATGGCGTACCATCATGGGTCGCCTGTACATTTAGGTGGCAATAATACGAATTAAATGTGTATGTATAATAACTGACCTAGGGTACATCGAGTTTTTCCATTTGGTCAGAAAAGCTTAATACCTGACAGTCATAGTTTTTGTTCTTTTTTTTATTCTTATTAATTTCTTTTTAGGAGACTGGACAAGAGAAAAGAAGGGAAAACTCAGTTGAAAAGGGTTGATAGTTAGTGAGCATCAAAGGCTAAAACACTTTTAAAATTATTTCTTCAGATGTATAAATAGGATCAGATCAGATAGGACAGAACAAAAAAAGGGACTTTGTGTAAACAACTATGCCCATTATTTTTTCCTGGAGACAAACTGTCTGCAATACAGAAGATTGGGCCTGATGCAACAATACTGGGAGTCAAATTTCAGGCTCAGAAGTTTCAGGCTGGTTGATTCTGCGAATTTGCTGTAGGCCCAGCTGTGCAGTAGAATTGATCATGTTCAAGGCCACTTAAATGCATTAAAGAGTTTAGAAGGAGTAAGCAGTGAGAAAGTCTTATGCCAAGATGCTTGACTGAATCGTAGAGCTGGAGAGAAACAGGCAACGTCCTCAAGTGATGAAAATGCCTGCACATCTGGGATGTAAAGAAACTGTTGTGGCATTGTAGGACAAAAACTAACATTAGCTAGAAATATTACAAATGAGAACCACACAACTGAAGGATAAAAGCTAATATATTACAGCAACTTCAGCACTAACAAGGAAGAAAAAAAAAAATTTAAAAAAAAAAAAGTGTTGGCTGAAAATCTTAAAGAATGAGCTACACATTTTTCAACATAGTATCTCAGAAGAGACAGTCCTTTCCTTGCAATATGGACCCATTCATATTTCAAAATTACTGCGTCAGTTAGCCCGGCATACAGGGCATGAGCACATGCATACGCTTTTTAGACTTTAACACTTCATTATTAAAGGGAACATGTTGTGGATTGTGTAATCAAGAGGTCTTAACCTCTGGGTAAGGTTTCTGGCCACCTTAACCGCAGGAGCCTCCTTGTTAATATTTCCTGAGGGTTTTGTAACTTTTTCATTGATTCTCACCCCCCCACCCCCACCCCATAACCTGCATTTTTCTATTGTTTTGTCCAAAGGTGAACCATCTGCATTCAAAGACAACAATAAGCATTATACATAAAATTACTGATAAAGAGCGAGTTTGTCCACCTGTGATTAAGGAGTATACAGAGAAACACTGTACCATACGGGGAAATTACCCCAAAGAGAAATTGCAACAGTCATACACTGGAGCTAAATGAATATCCAAAATGGCAATGAGGGAAAGCTAAAGGACATAATCCACAAAATGCTGAGTGTATGAATTACAGCCCTTAGCTAAGCCTGATTTGTGTGGCTAGCACTTACACAGCAGATAACCCAGGCTGACAGTGACCTTGACAGCATTGCAACAGTAATATTTCCTGTAAAGGCTGAGCAGCTTTCAACCAATTTCTCTTGAGCAGAAGCTACAAGCATGCTTGTATTCAACAACATGGACCAAAGTAATCCTCAGTATGTGCCTGTGAATGATACAAACAGAATACGGCTCTTGGGGCATGCTGAAAGCCTTGCTCCCTTCTTTCTTCTGCCCTTGAAGTGAGTGTTTTGGAGAGCATAAAGCACATTTCCCTGGTGCACACGTTCCCTTTCTTCCCCCTGTCAGTGCAGAGCTGAGCAGCAATGCAGCACAGAGGGGATATGGTTCCAAGTCCGTTGAGCAACTGCAAGTATTTAGTGACCTTCTCAACCAATACATCTGCCCCTTGGGAACTGCAATTGATTTTCCTCATCTCTATATGCGATGACAATGCTGTAACACTATGTTACAGCTACATAGTTAAAGGTAAATTGGAAATGCTTTCCCCATACCTCCTTTTTAAGTAAATATTAGTGAAACCCCTAATTCTTAGTCATTTGTAGAACAAACTGCAGGGGAGATTAAAGAGTTACAAATAAATGCAATACCAAATTTTTTGGTTGATGGTCTGTTCTCTCTTCACTTTGCTGCCAAGACCTGTGCTTGCAGTACTCTGCTTTTCGCTGACTACAGCTGATATTACTTCTGCGTAAAGATGCAAGAAGAGTGCCGTTAACTCTCTGGAGCGGTGATGTAAATCCTGAAAAATCCACCAAGGGAATGGGTGGTGGCAAGACCGACACGGATCGCTGCAAGGAGCGGTGGGTCCTTTGAAGGCCTCATTTTACATCCAAGCCATATGAGTCTTCCGACCCTTTGATGGAAAAGCTTGCTGTGTCCCTGTGGCTGAGTTGCAAGTGCATCTGTTACACTGCAAATGGGCAGCCTGGGCTGATTTTAAGTGTTTGCTCTGTTACAAGACAGATGTCACAGCCAGTGCAAAAAAACCAAAACCAAACAAAAAACCCAAACCAAAACCAGTAAACCCAACCCCATGGACAGATTGAAGGCAAGGGGTAACAACTAAGAGAAGAGACAGGTCCTAAGGGAAACACAGATTGCACAAGCTTTGTGCAAACACAGGCTTTGCTCTTTGCAGTCTTTCAGTTGCTTCTGTGAAGGGAGTAAGAACAGCCTGCAGTGGTTGGGGGTTTTTTTTTGGTTTGTTTTTAAAAACATTTGCACTGTGTGCCTCAGTTTCCCTGTCTATAAACAGGAGCGAATGAGTTCAAGCATTGTCTTGCATGAAGGCGGGGAAACTGGCAATATTTGCACCTTATTGCCTGCTTGGAGCTGAAAGGAACTTTTTACCCAAGTTGTCCTTCAGGGGAAAGGTGGCTTGACCTGCTGGACATTAATGTTAAGGGAAAAAGGCCCTGCTGACAAGAGAAACTGGATTAATAAGAATTGGTAAGAAGAAAAATACAGGAGTCTCTGTAAATGCTGGGGTCTAGACCAAGCACCTGTAACACAAATGTGTGAGTTTCCACCCACTCCCTTTTGCTATTTTCATCCTGTCTGAATTCCAGCTCTGCCAATTCACTCTCACATCTGTTCTTAGACTTGGTATCAACACCGATTTAATCACATTCCTTCCATCTACTGAG